AAGAAACAAAAAGGTCAGGGAAACATCTCAGTGAGCAAAGGTACTTGCTGCAAACGCCTAAGAGCCTGATGTCTGGAACCTAGAGAAGGCTGGCTACAAAGCTGGAGAGATGCTACAAAGCTGGAGAGATGCTCAGAACCAGGGAGACGCTCAGAGCCAGAGAGATGCTCAGACTAAAGGTGTGAGCCACCCCTGCCTGGCTATATTTTGGTTTCTTTCTTTCTTTCTTTCTTTCTTTCTTTCTGTTTATTTTATTTATTATGCATGCAATGTTCTCTCTGCATGTGTGCCTACACGCCAGAAGAGGGCACCAGATCTCATTATAGATGGTTGTGAGCTACCGTGTGGTTGCTGGGAATTGAACTCAGAACCTCTGGAAGAGCAGTCAGTGCTCTTAACCTCTAAGCCATCTCTCCAGCCCCAAGACAGGGTTTCTTTGTGTAACAGTCCTGGTTGTCATGGAACTCGCTTTGTAGATCACGCTGGCCTCAAACTCACTGAGATCCACCTCCCAAGTGGTGGGGTTAAAATATTTTTCGTACAGGGAGGGAAGGTAAATTTGTCTGGACATAACCTCACAAGCCAAGGAGCTTCTACAAGCTCCTATGCATCACCTGTTTTACAAGGGCACTCAGGTCAGGATGGGCTAAGACTCTGGTCTAGAGTCACGCAGAGGGCAGTGCCAGAGCTGGGGATTCAGGTCTCTTTCCAAAGCTGGGTCTCTGACTTTCTGTCCCCACCCCCACCCCCCCAAGTACTGCAGCGTGTTAGCATTGACAGGGAGGGGAACTGAGGTCCTTGGAGCTAGTGGAGAAGACTTCAGCTACCATGATGCCCTTGCACTCCTCTCTCCTTCTCTCTCCTCTTCCTCTCTTCCTAGTCCTCCCCTCCTCCTGTCTCCTCCCCCTCCTGACCTCAGTGACTCCCCTCACTGGATTGAAGGCAGTTCCCTCCAAGGCTGCCAGGCTGCTGAGTAAACCCCAGCCGAGCAAGGCCCAAGGTGAAGGCTATTGTCAGCTGAGTCTAAGGCCTGAGTCACTTCCTGACCCTTGCTCAAGTGGAGTCCAGAGTGGCCAGCTGTGCTGGGGGAAGACACTCCTGGGCCTGGAGGGCTTTCCTGGGTTCCTCACCTGGCTAGCCTCAGCTCTACCACACTGCAGAGACTGAGCGCCTTTTCTTCTCTCAACCCCGAAGGGAAGCCTGTCTCAGGGCGTACTCTCATGGCCTATGTCTGGCCCTAGCATCTGGCTTCCAGAAACATAGTTCCTTAACCCAGAACCACAGACCCAAAGGGTCTCAAACTCCCTCCCACTGCCAGCCCTTCCTTTGTCTCCGGACCAATGAAAGAGACAGGGCAGGAAAAGAGTTGCAATGAGGGAGCTGTAGCCTTACAACCAGCCCAGGTAGTTTGGAGACACCCCTGAGCCTTGCTGGCAGGAGCCTGGGCTCCAGGGCTCCCTTCCTCACCCAGCTCTGCCCTTCTCCAGCCCTGTGACCTTGAGCTAATTACTTAACCCCTCTATGCCTGTTTGCTACTTCTCTGGTGAGGATGTTCAGCCTTACTCACAGTCTTCTGCCCTGGAGTGGAATATGTAAAACACTAATGGCAGGCACATGTCAAGCACGTATGTTTATTAGATAATTTTTTCACACCCAATGGGCTGGCTCTCTCATTCTTATACAAGCTTTGATACGTCCTTGAAGACAGATGCCCTGCCCACAAGCCATGTTGAATGTTTCTGTGGGGCTGTTCACCTGAAAATGATCTGCAGACAGTGGGGGAGAAGCGGTTGGGCAGTTTGGGGTCTGTGGTGAGCCTGACAGGGTCTCCTGGAAGCCTTCCTCCTCTGACAACGAAGCCAGCTGGCCCCACTCCGAGAAGCCAGGGAGGGTGGGTCACGTCCACAGGGCATACGTGAGCTGTTCTGCCAGAACACTCATGACTCAGATTGAGAACAAGATCGTCCTGGGACCACACACACAAGACAGTGCCATTCATGTGCCTTAGAAATCAAGCAAAAAGTCTATACTCAGAATTGATTATCTACTCTGAAGGTAGAGGCAGGGGAAGGAGTTAGAGACCAGCCTGGTCTACATAGAAAGTTGTTGGCCAGCTACATAGTGAGACCCTGACTCAAAACCCACCACCACCAATGACCAACAACCACTGTTCCCTGGATATTGAACCTTCATGAATCCTGGGGATGGTGGAATTAGCTGCTGTTGGCTCTGGGTGTAAGACACCAGACTTTTCATGGGAAGAACAATTTGATGCCTGAACTTTGTTTCAGAAAAATGGGGAAGGAGGGATGATAGATTCTGAGCCCTGGTCAAAGATGAACCTTGGGATCTGGGAGTCTTAAATTATTTTTCTTAAAAAGAAAAGAAATGGGGGGGTTGCGTAGAAGGCAGGTGGGGGAGGGAAGGGGATGAGAGGAGAGACGGGAACCTGTGATTGGTGTGTAAAATAAATGAAACAAATTTATTTTTTTTTAAAAAAAGGGGCTGTTGGGGGGTGGCAGGGAGGAGGGGAGGGAGAGGGAACTGGGATTGACATGTAAAACAATCTTGTTTCTAATTCAAATAAAAATAATCTGCAAAAAAAGGGGGGGCGGAAGTTGGTGGCGCTCGTCTTTAATATCAGCACACGGGAGGCAGGGGGATCGCTGTGAGTTCAAGGCCAGCCTGGTCTACAAGTTGAGTTCCAAGACAGCCAGGGCTACATAAAGAAACCCTATCACAATGAAAGAAAGAGAGGAAGGAAAGGAGGCAGGGAGGGAGTGAAATCTAGGGCCACAGGAAGTCACTTATAACCCTGTGATTAGGGTTCTTTGTTGTTGCTGTATTAGTGTTTTGCACCCCCTTCCCTTTGGTTTTTTGAGACAGGGTTTCTTGGGATTAAAGATGTGTGCCACCACACCCCCTTTTTTTTCTAAATTTATTTATTGTGTATAAAGTGTTCTGCCTCCATGTAGGCCTGCAGGTCGGAAGAAGGCACCGGATCTCATTCAAGGTGGTTGTGAGCCACCATGTGGTTGCTGGGAATTGAACTCAGGACCTCTGGAAGAGCAGGCAGTGCTCTTAACCTCTGAGCCATCTCTCCAGCCCCCCCCTTTTTTTCTTTATTTTTAACTATCTATATAATGACATAGGTGCTGAGAGACAAACTCAGTACAGGCTCTTAAACTTCTCCATCTTCAAGGTTGCTTGGAGTCAGGGTCTTTCTCTGTAAACTATGCTGGCCTCCAACTTGCTTTGTAGCCAAGGATGGCGTTGTTTTCCTCCCTCTCTCCATCCCTCCCTTCCTTCCACCTTTCTTCTCTCCCCATGCCTTCTCTCCCTCCTTCCTCGGGGCCTCACCCAGTCTGGTCTCGAACTCACTACGGACTGAATGACCTGGACTCGAACTCATAGTATCCGTCCTGCCTCTGCCTCCCCTACAGACCTGAGCCACCAAGCCTTTCTTGCATCTGTGGGGTTTTATTTCTCAAACGACCAAC